GGCGATAGGCGACCTGATGGCGAGTGAGAGCGATGGCGGCACTGAAGGATTTCGGAACGGCCGAAACTCTGGTTTTCGGTCCTCGTACAGGGATAAGTTGCTTAGCTTGGGTGACTCGGGCTTCTTGGAGACTCACATGTCGGCGGAGGATGCGATGAAGGGATGGAAGGATCAGTTCGCGAAGTGGAATGGGAAGAAATCTACGTCAGATGCAGTAATGGAGGGAGATGGGTTATCTGAGGAAAGATCATCAGAGGAGAAGATGAGAAAAATAGAATAAATAAATAAATAAATAAAAAGAAGAAAAGAAAAGTGAAAAATAATACAACAAAATCTATGTGATAAGGTTCGCATATGTGATATCAACCATAAAATTAGGGCGTTCCTTGGGTATAGAAAAGAAAAGAAAAGGAAGAAAAGAAAGGGAATCAAAAGAAAACAATAAGAAATAAAATAATACAAATTATATTGGGTTTCACTCTCTAGCCTTTGGTGTTGCAAATCACATATGTGATAACTACTATGAAGATATAGGCTTTTCTTGGGTAGAATAAAGAAGAAGATGAACAGTGAGCTTCAGTCACTCTTAGCCAAACCTTGACCCCTACTGTCATTAGAAAAGATGGTATAAGAATTTTTTACCTTGCCTCCTTTTGTCTAAGAAGGATCGTCTCCTTCCCTCCAACGCTTACTATCTTATTTATAGACTACAACTAGGGTTTTTCAAATTTTTTTAATTTTTGTTTTTTTATTTTCTCTCAATTATGACTCAAAAGGATATTTCCAAATTGAGAAGCCAATTATCTTAAATGATACATTTTGATTTTTATTTTCTGATTTTTCTTTTTATGTGCCCACCCCATATTCTCTAATTTAGAAATTAGTCCAATTAACCACATATTATCTTTTTATTATCAATTATAGTGGGAAAGATATTCTTGCATGATTTTCCTTTTTTTTTTAGAGATTTTTGAACTTAGTCTCCAAGAAAGAATCAAAGAGGATTTTTTTATATTATTCTTTTTATTTTATTTTTTAATGTTTTTGTTTATTATTTAGTGGGCCTGGACAAAATAGAGTGTTTACATTATGCATTTTGGTTTGGTTATTAGCTAAGGCATTTGTTATCAGTTTATGATGGACAAATCAGAATATTTTGAGAATGTGTCGTTTGATATCAGGTTATGGACTTTGGCACCCACATTTGAGTTTTTTTTTTTTTTGTATCGTTTAGACTAATTTTAACTGCACTATTTTAATCTGCAGGTTGTTTTCAAGTTTTTCTTATTTGGAACTTAGTCATGATGATAATATGTTTAGGACAATTTGGGTTTTTTAATTTTTTTGCGCTAAAGCATAGATATCCTCCTATTGGAGGCAATCCTATTCGAGACACTGTCGGGTACTAAATGTGGGCATCTCTCCCAGTTGGAATTCAAACCTTGATTCGTCATGTTGTAAGGGACTAGCTCTTTCTGCTAGACCCAACCTCTGTTGGTACAATTTGGGATTTTGTATGCAACATATTGAAGCTGATTAGTTATATTAAAAAGTCTTAAGCCATCAAAAATATAAGCACAAGACTAGACAAGTTAGACCACTAACTCGATCCAGTCCAATCTAGTCTACCCAACCTGATGAACAACGGACTATTCACCGGGCTGAAGTGGTCTTAGGGCTAGGATGACCAACCTGAAGACCAAGACAGACCAAACCACATGCTAATGCCTTCCTCAGCCGGTATGGACCACGTTCAGCTTTACCAAATGTACAAGCTTTGCATTGCTTACCTTGTTTATAACAAACCAGCTTTGTAACAGCTAATGGGTGAAACGATTTACAACATACCCACACACCCAAACCACAGTGTTCTTGGAGAGGAGAGAAAAGAAATTTCGAACTATGAAATCAGTCGACAATGAAGATGAAATGTGCTTCGACTTCACTCATAATGTTGGAGAAGATGCTCTTCCACTTTGCTTCCTTTTGGTATCAAGCTTCCCCCCCCCCCCCCCCGTTATGAAGGGGCCAAGGAAGAAGACGCAAATCAGTTCTGGCTCTCGCTTTTCAACGTTTTTTGCGTCTTCACTAGTAGGGGCAATAGTGTCTACTCACTTTTTTCATTAATGCAATCTTGGGACTCCTCTGTAATTACCAAGTTTAAAGAGACCTTTTCGCATTATTTTGTATTCCATCGGACCTCAATGCCTTTTCCTATTTATTTTATTTAATCTAATTTACAACGTTATTTGTGTCTTCATTAGTGGTGGCAATCGTGTCTACTCACTTTTTTTCATTAATGCAATTAGGTCATTTTGGGACTCCTCAATAATTATCAAGTTTTAAGGGATTTTTGTTTTACAGTATTTTGTGTTCTATGGGACTTCAGTGTTATTTTTTCTTTATTTTATTTAATATTATCTGCAAAATTAAAAAAATATGAGGAGATTTTGTGAAGAGATGTCCTTTTATCCTTAAAATTAAATTTGCGAACAAATATAAAAAATAGATTAAATAAGTATGAAATATTTATAAATTTTTTTTTTTTTGCTAAAGTATAGGTATCTTCCTATTGGAGGCAATCTTATTTGAGACACTGTTAGGCACTAAATGTGGGCACCTCTCCCAACAGGGATTCAAACTTTGATTCGTCACATTGTGAAGGACTAGCCCCTTCCCCTGGACCCAACCCCTATTGGTTTTATAAATTTATTCTAATATGTTCTAAAATTTACACCTATTTAACTATAAAATATGCACTTATCAGTAGTGTTGCCACATAATGCATACTTTTTGCCACCAAATTCAACATTTTTAGTGAAGGTATTTTTCTTCCACAAGGTCCCAACCTAGCTTATAGGGCATGGAATCTCTTGTGCATGATCCAGCTATGGTTGAGGATATATTTTATTTATTTATTTGGATTTCAAGAGGTGGGTATAATGTAATTAATAAGGGGAGAAGAACAAGTATTCTTTTTTTATCTTTTCCACATCGTTGACTGCAAAAATAGAAAGTAGCTTTTTTGGGGGCTTTCATAAATAGAAATCAAATTTATTGATGAGACACTAAATGAAAATCGCAATTTCTATTGACCCCTATAGTTTTTGGCATTCGTAGCGTGAATAGACATCTTCTTTCCAAGTGTTTTGGTAAATTAATGGTTTCTAATTAGTTTTAGCATTTTTTTTCTATTTATAACACTGTGTTTTGTGATTATAAATAGTAATATACCAAATCGGTTTTGATAATCACAAACTACATTCACAACAAAGAAATATACAAAACGAATTGCTCATAATGGACAAGACATTGAGTATTACAATGTGTGCTATGTTCTTATTCATTAGTAATTTCATTAAAACTCAAGCAAAAGACTGCAATATAGCTAGCTATGGTGGAAATCCTAATGGAGATATCACAGATGTAATTCCCTTGTTTGCCCTAACTTACTCATAGGAAGCAGACCAAAAAATCATAGTTCTTATGTTTACAACTCAAGAAATCTTAATGTTTCTTGGTTCATTATTAACACGTTTTGTATTTCTTATTGAAGGCACTCGCAAAAGCATGGACTGATGCTTGTACAGCCACCGAGCCTAGCAAAGTAATTGTTGGTCCAGGCACTTACACGATGAATGCAATGGATATTAAAGGACCATGCACAGCTCCTTCAATTGAGTTACAGGTTGACGGTGTAATTCAAGCACCAGCAAATCCTGCTTCTCTAAAAGGTGCAGACCAATGGGTTAGAATAGGATATGTGAATGGCTTCACATTATCTGGCACTGGAACTTTTGACGGCCAAGGTCCAGCTGCTTGGAAAGCAAATGATTGTGCAAAAAATCCAAAATGCAATTGGCCTACCATGGTAAATAAGATCAAAACAAATGCTCCCTATTCATCTGAAATTATATTATTCTTGACAGTGCTCAAAGCTACCTAGTCAGATAATCATATAAAAATCATATTACTAATTCTCTCCTTTTTTTTTAATATCAAAATTTGATAACAAAAGAGTTTCATATGATTTGAACAGAACTTTGGTTTCAACTTCCTCAACAATTCTTATATCAGAGGTGTGACATCAAAAGATAGCAAAAACTTCCATGTCAATGTTCTTTCATGCAATAATATCAACTTTGATGGGTTTAATATCAGCGCACCTGGAGATAGCCCAAACACTGATGGAATTCACATTGGAAGATCAAACGGAGTGACTGTTGCAAATACCAATATAGCTACTGGAGATGACTGTGTCTCGTTAGGTGATGGTAACTCAAACATAACTGTGGTAAATGTGACTTGTGGACCTGGTCATGGTATTAGTGTTGGTAGCCTTGGTAGATATGATAATGAAGCCCCCGTTTCAAATGTCAATGTCAAAAATTGTACAATATCTAACACAATGAATGGTGTAAGGATCAAGACCTGGCCTGGCACTCCGGGGGCTATTACTGTGACCGATATGCATTTTGAAGATATTATTATGAATAATGTCCAAAACCCTGTGATCATAGACCAGGAATATTGCCCATCAAATCAATGCGACAAATCGGTATGTAATTGAAACTGTTCATTGTCATTTCTTTTCTTCATATTAATTAGTGGCTTCTGGTAATTTTTTTTCATCATCTTTTTTTGTGTGTTGATTAGTCTCCATCAAAGATAAAGATAAGCAATGTGAGTTTCACAAACATTCAAGGCACTTCTCAAACTCAAGATGGAGTAGTTCTTATCTGTAGTAGCGGAGTACCGTGTGAGAATGTTCAGCTGAATAACATTAATCTCGCATTCAATGGAGCTGAAGTAACTGCTAAATGTCTCAATGTCAAACCAACAGTTACAGGAACGGCGCCAACCTGTGCAGCAGCTTAAGAATAGTATAGTGTTATAAAGGCTTTCAAGATTTTGTGTTCTTTAAGAGAGATTACATAATGCCTCCTCAAGTTTAGGAATGATAGAAGTTACTTTTGTTTTGTTTTAAGCAAAATAATCATGTGTTATCTTTTTTTTTTTTTTTGGTAATTATCAATCGGTTTTGCAAATTGAGTAGATCTATATATATGATCAAGACTCACTTTAACATTTTTGAATTACCTTTTCCAATCTAATTTTGTATCGCAATTTCTACCTTTTTAGATTAATCCAATTTATCTGTCAAATGCCAAATTGCAAAGACTTCCTTTCATATTATGGAAGACAATACAATCTCTTCCCTATATTGAAATTATCTACCCATGAATTCCAAGGAATAAAACCTTCCTTAAAATAGGAAATTTAAAATTTAGATTTAAGATAATTGAAATTAATATTTTGGATAATTGAGAGATAATTGATAATACCTTGCATGTGATTGACATTGTGATTTTAGTAAAAGATCAAATACTATATATTAACTTATATCCTTTTAAAGATATTAAACTAGTTTGGCTATTAAGAACTTTACTAAAATTGTGAAGTCTCTTCTTAGAAGGCTTAGGTGAAGCCTTAGAAAACAGATACGAATTCTGTGAGTCTTCTCAAAGATTCTCGCATAAAGACTACGAGGGTTTAGAAGCATCTACTGCGAAAAAGAGTTCATGATCATGATCAAAACTATTGGAATTGTAATTGTTCAAAGCCTAGTTAGTTCTTCTTGTTATTTTTTATACGCACATATAATTTCCATATATAATAACTTGCTTATAACACCAACTACATCGTGATCTCACTGTGCAACCATGATTATGTGTTAACATTGTGAAGATGCTTGGGGTTAAAGGTATCCCTTTAACTATTTCATGAGGAGCGCTGAGATTCATTAGATCAATGTTAACTTTTAAATGTCAAAATCATTATGATGTCCTCATGAGACTAAGAGATCATTGTTGTCGGTTGTTAACTCCATATTGACTTTAGTTTAAAGAGCATTTTTCTCCTAAATTATTCTCGTAAAAATAAGAGTTAATACAATATTTGGTTTCTTAAATTTGTACTCATTTTGGTTTTAGTCCTTTAAATTTCAAATCATAAGTTTTGATTCTTTAAGAGAAAAAATAGCCTAATTTTTTATTAAATTATAAGAACTAACATTTTGGACAGAAAGAAACTTGAGGGACGAAAACCTGTGATTTGAAATATGAGGAAATAAAATCAAAATAAGGATAAACTTGAGAAACCAAAAATTATATTAACTCCAAAAATATTCAATAAGGTGGAGCAACTGGGCACATTGTGTTTAAAGTATTGTATGTTTTGCCAATTAGGCATTCATCTGTAAAGTGTATCAACCCAAACTAAAAATTTATTAGTAATGTTGTTATAAGTTATGTGTATGTTTATCTCGACTTACTAGCTAGGTCCTTACTGATTAAAAAGCCAAATGGGTGTCATTTGGCTTGCCAACTAAAGATTTGCAAATTAAAAAAAAAAAAAAAAAAGCTCTGTCATCACATACTAGCTATTAGCCAACGATGTTGTGATCGGTTATATGTCTATCCTGGCTAGTGATGAGATTAACTAGCTTTGTTTTTACTAACAAATACCTGTATAAATTGTGACTCTACTAATAATTGATTGTATATATATAGACTTATTGGCTGTTTTTAACGAGGAATATCTAGTCGATAAACCACATGACACTCTTAAATATGATGCGACTTGTTTCAATAAAAAAGGGTGATAATTGCTTCATATTATTGAACTTTAGAATATTAATTACTTCTCTTGAAATACTTTTGAGATAAAAATTCTTTTTAACCTATAGTCAATATTAATGGTCAATATCAAAATCTATTAGTCAAGAAGCGACATTATAATATTCGACATTAACCTACATTTTTTCCTAAAATGAACTTTGAATTTATGATAAAAGCCTTGAGTAATGCCAACGTGTTAAAATTGTGGACATGTATGTGAGATTTATTGGCTTGCACTGCTGCAGAAAAGGGCAGCAATAGAGTTTAAATTTTTCAATTGGTAGTGTTTACCTACTCTGATGCCACGTTTAAGTAATAGATAGTGCTTTGAGTAGTGCATAGCTTATGCGGAATTGAAAATTATTCTTCTAGTACTTAATATGAGACATATTTAACTAATTTAATATAGTAAGAAAGTTAGGTAAATTAGTTAGTTATAAGATATATGACATGTTTTTCCTATAAAATACTATAATCATCTTTCTTAATATCCTTCCTCTCTCTCCTATTTAATTATAGTTGAAGGAGTATCAATAAGGATAATTTAGAAAAAAAATTGATAAATATAATAAGTGAGGCTTATATATAGGACCAACAATTAGATCCTATATTAAAAGCATAAGAAGTATATTAGTTGGACTACTTCCATAGGGAAGATGTAGGGTAGCCCTATAGCTAAGTAAAAAAAAAAATTGTCTTATATATGTAATCTTTTTATTTAGTTGGAATAAAATTGTCTTTCAGTGAAAAAAACAATAGGAAGCACTATAGCTGACATTTAATAAAAAAAAAAAATTGATTCATCATTTGTCACACTTTCTCGTGGATTTTTTATTTCCCTAAATCAAGCCTTAGCTGTTATGCTTTCCTTGAGAAGTGCTATAGGTTGAAGCTTTTTCTTTTTAAAAAATATTTTTTTGGGCCTTGAATATATAATTTCATGAAAACCTAATTTACAACACTTTTATGTGTAACTTTTTCCTATCACCAATAAAATCCAAAAAAAATATTTACAAACAATCAACACCAAAATAGCATCACAATTAACTTGTACCATATATGTTGACTACTCATTGTAGATTTACAACACTTGTCAATGAAGTTAAAATCTATTACAATTCTATAATAAATTAAAAGCGGCCAGTATTGAAGGAACTACATACAATTTGGTTCTATACTCTAACTTGTTTTGACAAAATAAAGAGGGTTAAGTAGTGAAAGAATCAACCTACATTTTGTCCTTTCCCACACAAAAAAAAAAAAACAAACAAAAAGAATCAACCTACTTATTAGTGCATTGTTCAACACAAATGTGCACCACTCTTCAGTGACTTCATCACTATTTGGTTGTATTGTACTCTCTACAATATGTGTCATCATAATAATGCAAAATAATTAACACAACACATTAAAATCAATAAAAATATATATTGGACACTCAAATTAAATTTAAAAAACAATATAAAACAAAAGTAACGTTGCATACAAGGTCAAGAACAAAATATTAATTACGAGTAGCAACATCCTTAAAAAATCTCATGATATAATCCTCACAGTTGCTATTGTTAAGTTGAAAGGTCATTACAAAAAAAATTATATCATCAAAGAATTATATCAATTTTACAAATGCAAATAGTTTATTTTCAACATTTGAGTAATTGTAGTTTTTTGCAAGGCTAGCTGCCTTAGAATGTATCAATGCTATATAATCTTGATAGTCATCCAATACACCAACAAAATGAAATAAAAATTCATTTTTTTATCCTTAAATCACCTAAATATGTACATGCAAGCAGGCATACGTGCACTTACCTATTAAGTAACCTCAACATGTTTGGGTAGTCCTATGATTGGCCATACACTAGGGGATCCATGTAATAAATTGAGGGAACCCCATATGCCATAGGATTGATAACACTCAAAATCCAATATCCCCTATAATATTTTGCAACAATTTGATTAAACAAGTTATAGGTAGTGAACAAATAAAAAAAATCATATTATAAATAGTTGAGGACAATTATAAAGATCCTCTTCAGTTGTATTTAGCATTTCTTGAAGATCATCTTTCTCATTACATGCACACTTGTGCCAAAGTCATTCAAAGCACACCTTGGGGCATGTGCTTGATCACTGTATCATTCGTCTCACCAGGCCTTGTTTATGGTATATAGGCTTGATTAATTTCATGACACACTAAATAATCTCACATCTTTGCTGGCCTAATTCATTTTCTATAACAAGCAAGGACAGAATTAGACAATTAATTAAACACCCCTGGGAGTTTCGCATGGAAAATAATACTCCCTCAAAAAAACAAAATCAATAGAATTCTCTCTCTAATGAGAGCGGCAAAGGCGAAGGCAAGAACGGTGGCTGGAGGCCGGGGGAGGAGTGAGGGAACGGGAATGGCAGACCAATGTGGGGAAGGAGATATGAGTAATGATCGAGAACATGACAAAGACGGTAACCGGGGATCGCTACCCACGACCTTCGTGTTTGGGAGAGATGACCAAGGAAAGGAGGGGCTGTCTGGAGGTCCTAAGGGAGTGCCGGTGATGGCTCGCAAGGTACCCCTTTCTTATAAGGACAAACTTCTTGCACCGGGTTGCTCGGGGTTCTTGGTACAACATGAGGAGCAAGAAGACATTGTTAATGGGTGGAAGGCATTCTTTGCCCAAAAGAATGTAAACACAGAGGAAGCGTTGGAATCAAGGGGCTCGAGCGAGGAAGATATAGCAACGGTGAAAGGAAATAGTAAATATCCAGTGCTGGCCCCCACTGCGGAACAGTATACTGCTTGGTGCCAACCGTGGTTAAACTCACTGATTATCAAAGTGTTGGGAGCACGGGTACCGAAGAATATCCTCTTGGATCGGGTGAAACGGATGTGGAGACCCCAAGAACCAATGAAAATAGTACCCCTGAGTAACGACTTTTATATTGTGTCGTTCACACGTTGGGAAGATCGGGATTACGCCTATCAAGAAGGGCCGTGGATGATTAATGATCACTATCTGCTGGTTCAACGCTGGCGCCCAAACTTCAACCCATGGAAGGCAGACATGCAAAAGAAGATAGCGGCGTGGGTACGACTCCCGGATCTACCAGTGGAGTTTTATAATGTGGAATCATTGTGGATGATCGGTAATATGATAGGGAAAACATTGAAGGTAGATCGCTCTACTTCCATATATGATAAGGCTGGATTTGCTCGCATCTGTGTGGAAGTTGACCTCCAGCAACCCTTGCTCCCCGCTTATACGGCATTTGGTGAAGACCGACAGATTGTCTATGAAGGTCTTCACCAGGTATGCTTTGAGTGTGGACTGTATGGTCATGAGAAAAATAATTGTCCTCTGCTTCAGGTCCAACAAAGGGTGTCCAGTGAAGCATCGATTCAGGATAATAGCAGAGAAACATTAGAGCGTCATAATGATAGTCAAGAGCCACATGGTTTGATGAACACTGTAGATGATCGGAATAAGGAAACGAAGGCCGGAAGTTCAACGCCGGCAGCAAACAAACACCTTGGGCCTCAGATGTTGGTTAAGCGAGATTTTCGTAGGGGAGTAATGGGTGCGGATTTAAAGGGCTCAAGATCTGGGGAATCACCTAAAAATCAGCAAGAGATAAAGAATGGGATAGAGAATAAAGGTGTGGCAGCTGTACGAATTATGGAGAAACCAGAAAAGGCAGGAAAATCAGATTATTCACAGAATAATCGAGGATTTGGCACTGAAGTAAATCTGGAGGGTAATAGTTGGATAAGTGTGGGATCCAAACGGAAGCAGGATAACAAGCCCATAAAGAAGGGCAAAGAGAACTTGGGCCTTAACAAATTGAAGTACAAAAGAAAGGAGGCTACTGTCACTCTTAAGGAACCGGTGAACACGAGCAACTCTTTCAATGTTCTCCTAGTGGGCCCCCCGAGGCTCATAAGCCTAATCACCAAGAAGGAGGACGAGGCTTGGAAATTGACGCGATGGAGGTCACCCACGTGCAAGATATTCACGCACACATTATAGAACCGCCTATCCATCTCTCGGGCTCGGAGGATGCGAGAGAGAGAAGAGTGTCACAGGAATCAACTTTGCAGGAGCACACAGTTGAGAAAGAATCTTTGTCTTCGGATAATGTCCAGATGGGGGACACTAAACGCACATCAGCAACCGAGATTGTTTCCCAATGAATTTCATGATATGGAATTCAAGAGGCACTGGGTCGAAGGCTTTTCCAAACCTGGTACAAGAACTACGCCGTCATTACCACCTGGATTTCCTTGCTCTACTCGAAACACGGGCAGATAAGCAGAAGACTGAGCAGAGAATCTCTAGATTGGGATTTCAAGAGTTCTCCTTCACTGAAGCAGTGGGATTTAGCGGCGGTATATGGTGCTTGTGGGGTGCAGGCATTAGACGGGTAGAAGTGTTGGAACAGCACAAACAATTTATTCACCTTCGAGTTGAGAATAGTAGACTTGACTCTTGGTGCATGACGGTAGTGTACGCGTCGCCGAACTTAGCTGCTAGAAGAAGCTTGTGGTCAAACTTATCGAGGTTGGGAGAACAAATGCAGGAACCTTGGGTGCTCGGGGGAGATTTTAACGCTACGTTATTTGATTCCGAACGCAAGTCTATCGCACCTAACTCGATTTCTTCTGACCGTGACTTTGGTGCATGGTTCGAAACACACTCTATGGAAGACCTAGGATTTGTGGGTCCATGGTTCTCGTGGAAGAGAGGAAGTACAGAAGCAAGACTGGATCGCTTCATTGCAAATGATAAGTGGCACACTCTCTTTCCACAAGCTTCTGTTGCCCATCTACCTTTTTACAAGTCAGATCACCGTCCCATGCTCCTACGGATAGATGGGGGTACCACAAATGAGACGCCACAGCGGCCGTTTCGTTTCATAGCTTCGTGGGTCCTCCATGATGATTTCGGTAATATGGTGCGAAACAAATGGGACGAGACCCTACCTTGGAACGATAACCTTGCTCAATTCACTAGCGCTTGTAAACACTGGAATAGGAATGTTTTTGGTCACATTGAGGGTAGGAAACAAAAGTTACTGAGTAGACTTGAAGGGGTGACGAAAGCTATTGCCCGAGGAAGAGATGCCAGTCAACTCGAGGAGCTTCAACTTGAATTGTGGAGGGAACTAGAGGACGTCCTCTTGCAGGAATCTTTGTTGTGGGCGCAAAAGGCGTGACTCGAATGGAGTATTGATGGCGACCGAAACTCAAAACTTTTCCACTCACACGCAAACAGGAGACGAAAGATGAACCGCATTGACGCAATCAGGTTGGAAGATGGTGAATGGTGCTATAACAATGAACAAATCAAACAGGAAGCAACAACCTTTTTCTCGGACCTGTTTGCTGAAGAGCTCCCCGTTCGAAATGAACTTCCCTGTAGCTTTACGTTCCCAGCTCTTGAGGAAACCCAGCTTCAGGGATGTGGTAAGGAGGTCACAGAAGTTGAGATTAAGGAGGCAATCTTTAGTATGAGTGCTCTAAAAGCACCAGGCCCCGACGGTTTTAATGCCTTATTCTACCAACACCAGTGGGAGATAGTAGGACCAACTATGGTGGCTATGGTGAAACGAGTGTTTTCGTACCCAGCAAGTATTCGAGATATTAATGATACTCTGATTGTCCTCATTCCAAAGAAGGACCCCCGAGAAAATTTCAGAGATCTTCGCCCAATCAGCCTTTGCAACGTGGTCTATAAAGTGGTTACTAAAATATTAGCTAATAGAATGAAATGCTTTATGCCTGTTGTTATTTCTCCTAACCAGTGTGGGTTCATTCCGGGCAGGCATAGTTCAGATAATATCATTGTAGCCCAAGAAGTGATGCACTCAATGCGAACGATGAAGGGGAAGAAAGGATTTATGGCAATCAAGATTGACCTTGAGAAAGCCTATGACCGAGTCAACTGGGAGTTTTTGTTCAAATGTCTACGGGACCTGCAGCTTCCGTCACACTTTATCGACATTATATCCAGCTGCGTTAGTACCACGAGCTTGCAGTTACTTTGGAATGGCAATAAGGCAGGATCCTTCTCGTCTTCCCGAGGAGTGCGACAGGGAGACCCAATGTCACCTTATCTGTTTGTTCTTTGTATGGAAAGGCTGGCGCATCTAATTCAAGAGAATCTAGCGAATGGACAGTAGCGACCAATCCGTCTCACTAAACATGGACCGCCGATATCCCACTTATTTTTTGCAGATGACATAATACTATTCGCAGAGGCATCGATTAGCCAGGCCGATCTCATTAAATCATGCCTTGATAGATTCTGCCAGAGTTCTGGGCTAAAAGTCAGTGCAGCAAAAACACGAGTCCTTTTCTCAGATAACATCCACCATACCCGACGAAGTGAGCTCAGCTCCATATTGGGCTTCACACAAACATCAGACCTAGGCAAGTACTTAGGAGTACCATTGCACAACCAGCGAGTTACTAAGGATACTTTCTGTTCGGTGGTCGAAAAAGTTAAGTTAAGGCTGTCACAGTGGAAGGCACGATCCCTGTCCCTAGCAGGTCGAACCACCCTAATCTCGTCTGTCACCTCTGCTATTCCCAGCTATGTCATGCAAACTTCTTCCTTGCCAGCTAACTCATGCGATATGCTTGACAGAAGCAACCGACGATTCTTATGGGGATCCTCTGAGACACAACAGAAGGTGCCACTGGTCGCTTGGGATGTAGTATGTAGAGATAAAAATAGAGGAGGACTTGGTTTGCGCCATGCACGTCTACAGAACCAGTCACTCTTAATGAAGCTAGGATGGAGAATGGTCAAAAATAAAGATGATTTTTGGGTTCGGGTCGTACGCGATAAGTATAGATGTGGTGCAGATCTCATCCCACGGATTGATATACAAAGACAGGGGTCAAACGTTTGGAAGGGGATCAAGTCTATATGGAATAAGGTTGAATCTGGAATTGAGGTCAATGCTGAGGGTACTACTGCCAGATGGAAATGGGAAAGGCATGGCTATTTTTCTGTTAAATCGGCCTATTCAATGCTGTCTAGTGGAGGGGAAGAAATAAATAGCATCTGGGACCGAGTCTGGAAACTACAGGTCCCGCAACGGTGTCGAATATTTTTATGGCTGGCCCTACGAAAGAGCCTACTTACGAATGTGGCACGACATAAACGTGGAATTGGAAATAACACAGTCTGTCCAGTCTGCAACAGGGAACCAGAAGATATAATACATGTGTTACGTGACTGCAGTTACACCAAAGCCCTCTGGCGCACTCTCATTCCTGCTCATGATTGGCGACGCTTTAGCTCGGTGCCTCTTCAGAACTGGCTTTGGTGGAATTTAAATCGAAAGGGAAGTAGGAATGATGAGTGGTCTAAACTCTTCGCGATACTTTGCTGGCAAATATGGAGGCGACGAAACCTGAATATCTTCGAAAGCAAACGCGTTCCGAATGAGTGCGTCCTTTTTACGGCTCGTGCTTTGGTCTCTAGCATATCCAATGCCCGACAGAAACTAAAAGGGGTTAGAGTAAAAGGAATACATATAGGGAGCGCCCAAACAACTTGGAGGCCGCCGCCAGCAGGATGGACTAAAGTGAACACTGACGGAGCTTTTTCTCACAGCATGTCTGCAGCCGCTTGTGGTGGAATTATTCGAGATGATGAAGGCAGATACCTAAGGGGCTTTACTCATCGTTTTGACAATGGAGATGTTCTTACCGCAGAGCTGCTGGGCTGCCTTCACGGTTTAAAATTAGCTTGGGACGATGGTCACCGCAAGGTGATACTGGAGACGGACTCGACAATGGCCATAGAACTGCTCCGGAATGCACCAGACGAGTGTCATGCGGATCATGATCTCCTAGTGGAACTCCAGCAAGTATTGAACTATGACTGGGAATTACGAGTCACACATGTTCGAAGAACCGGTAATGGACCGGCAGACTACCTGGCTAAAATGGGTTTGAGAGCAATGCACGGCTTCCAAGTAATAATGCATCCCCCAGATGAGTTACGTAACTTGCTTGAACAGGATACAACACGCATAAGTCGCACGTACGAAGGGACTTAGATGAGGCTTCTCTTTTGTATCAAAAAAAAAAAAGAATTAGACAATTAATTTCCCTATCCTAAGCCCAAAATTTATTTGGGCTAAGATCAAGCCAATTTTTGACAGCCCAAGCATCAGATCAATGAGGAAGGAAAATTTTTAAGTCGATTTGATTCGAGAGAAAGGAAAAAATGGGTGTAAGATAGTGGATGGGTCCCACAATTATAAATCTTACCCTTTTAAACACCATTCCCCATATCTTCCATCTTCATTTTGCCCAGCCCATGGGGTCATATGAGTTATTGCCAGGGCGCACCAGTTCAATTTTTTTTTCCTCCTGGTTCAGGAGATAAATTAGACCGAACAAGTGGCCATTCCACTGTCATTTAATCATAACCAAAAATGTTTTCTTGAGTGAGTTTCTTTTAAAATTGAAGAATCATTGGCCGATCTCCAATCTAAACCGGCCTATCCAATCTGATTTTCATACACTGCATGAATGATAGAGTTTAAAATATAGCATCCACTCAAAAATAAAGTGGAATGAAGAATAAGGGTTATATTTCCTTAATACAAAATTACCTTCACTAAAAGCCCAAGTAATAATTGGAAGATAAAATGATTTTCTCAACTAGTCTTCAAACATCAATCTTGGCCATTGGATATTATATTTTAACTCTAAATTCTTGCCAAATAAATTTACAAAATTGATCTTCAAAATGCTCTTAAAAATTCTGCAACAATTAAAAATAAGATTCACTAGCCACATACACAAAAAATAATTAAATAACAATTTAATCATCATACATCAAGAATTAGAGAACCAATTCCTATGAAGCATAAATTGTCTATTGAAAGACTAAACAATAAAAAATAAACATGTATAAAATGATGATTCATTAACAACTCTATCCTTCCATATCAGCATATAATAATGGTGTTAGTGGCCATGTTAGCTCCATTTGCCATATCATCTCATGGAAGGACTAACTGTTTAATAGAGCAAAACTACAAGGACTGCTACTCAAAGAAATAAACTGTAGGGACTAAAACTAAAGTTGACTCAAACTTTAAGGACTAGAAGTATGGTTTTCCCCTTTAGAAATTCTGGAAATAAAATTGTCTTCTTGAGTTATTCCGAGACAGGGCGAGTCAAGGGGTGATCAACGGGACCAGACATGACCGGCCTGAACCGGCCGGTCAATACACTTTCTTCCTTTTGAATGTTGCAGACAGTGCTGTATCATAGCAGCAGAGGGATAAAAATGTAGAAGCCAGTCCCGTCTCTCTTTATTCCTCTTCAGTCTTCACTTTGCGTTTTTAACCTAACCAAATCATTTGCCTTGCCGGCCCTTGCCTACCCTTCTACATTACTTCTCTTCCCTCCCTTTTCATTTTTCTCTCGGTCCGATTCCTACCAAGGGGTGACTTCATGGTCTCGTCGCCCGAGTTCGTGCGGTGTGCTCTGATCTCTAGTCACTGGATCTCTGCAGCTCGCTAAGGGTCGCCTTATCTGGCCGGTAAACCTTCTTCTCCTTCTTTCCTAGCACTTATTTTCAGTTTAATCCTAAAGTCCCTAAACCTACATATTAAATAGTAAGATATATGTAAGACCCGTTAAACGCTACAAAAACAGCATGTGTAAATATTTTTGTTCATTTTTTAAAATATTAAATAATTAAATAAATGACACGATAGTTCTTTTTATTTCTCATCAAATCAAACCAATACTTTTTCTTGATGGGTTGCTTCATGATGGCAGCATACTTTTATTAATGTCATACCTGAAGAAGAGCAATTGGAGTTGGCCTCTGCTTCCTGTAGAGGATGAAGAACATAAACACTTTGTTTGCGATGAGGTTTTGTTTTCAAATTTGTTGTATCTGGTTTCAAATTTGTTTTGTTTGGTTTTTTTGAATAATTTGTGATAGTTTTTTTTAACCTCTCCCCCCCTTTTGTCAAATAAGTTGTCTGCTTCCTGAGTCCCAAGTCAGAATGACTCCAAAGAAGAAGAAAATCTGGGTCAACAGTTATTCGCTTGTATCAGTTGGTCTTGCATTCGAAAAGTTGGCCCAACTCAAGCTGTGTTCCAAGTTGGAAAGTGATGCAGCAATATTCATAATGCGGGATAAAATTTTTCGAAAGTTTTTATTAATGATTAG